TGTTTTTGAGAGGCCGATTGGAGAAGTAGGACACACACTAACCAGTTGTTTTTTTCCTTTGTTTTTTAATATGCACACGACAATAGAGATGAAATTTATTTATTTTTTTTAAAGGACTTTGTTAATTCATCTGCTTACGACTTCCTGTCGTGTTATCTGGATAAACCTTTAGATCGACTACTTCCATTACGTCCACTTAATCGTGTACGCAGATAATTCAATGCACGCAGATAGATTAGCCTATAGACTGCATTTCGAGTCGTCTGCCTGTGGAATTGAAAACAGGGAAACTCCGAAATGTTAATGTTTAGAGAAATTATTTATTACTTTACACAGGAAATTAACAAAATAACAAAGATAAGATATTTTAAAGTAACAGAAGAAATATTAAATGTTTCAGTTACATCATGACCGTAAACATTAAATGTAACATTTATTACAACAGGTTGTTCATTGTTGTTCATGTGTTGTTTTTCGTTTATTAATAAATTATTAATAAATAAAACATTTGATTTCGCAAACAAGTATGATTATTTACAAACACATCTTAAATTCAGTATCACAAATTTTTAAAAAATATTTTCTACCGTTCATCACAGACAACAGTGCAGGTACTTCCGGGGAAAAGATCCCCAGAACGATGACGCACGAGGAGCTCCTAGGACAATCCATGTTAATTATATTTGCTGGCTTCGACACCACGGCTTCCACGCTGCAGATGTGCTTCTACTACCTGGCCAAGCATCCCGAGATACAGGTGAGCTTTGCCACAATTCATACATCTGTTTCAGGTGAGCTTTGCCACATTTGAAATGTAACAGTGTTGGACTTCGATAAAGCTTTCAAGTAGATTAATGAGACAAAATTTGTGTAAATAAAACAATATAGGTGCAGCTTTAATCATGAATTTGAAAACAAAACAACAACCGGGGGAGGGAGGGAGGGAGGGAGAGAAAGAGAGAGAGAGAAAGACAGAGGTAATGAAAAACCACCTTAGTGAGTTGTTTTTCCTTCAGTGATTTCAGCTTTTGTTTATAAAAACAGGAAAAGGTCTACCAGGAGATCACCCGCACTGTGACGTCAGAGTCTCCCACCTACGAAGACGTCGCCCAGCTCAGATACACCGAGCAGGTTCTGAACGAGACTCTCCGTCTGTGTCCGCCGGCCCCCATCATGACCAGACGGGCGGCGGAGGCCAGAACGTACGGCAGCGTCACCATCCCTAAAGACGCCGCGGTCATAATTCTCCTTGACATGATCATGAGAGACCCCAAGCATTACCCCGACCCTGACAAATTTGACCCGGAGAGATTCTCTGAAGAAAACTGCGCCAAGCGAGACCCGATGGCGTTTGTGCCGTTTGGCTATGGCCCTCGCCAGTGCATCGGGATGAGATTGGCCTACATGGAGCTGAAATTCTGCCTCGTGCACGTGATGAGAAAAGTGAAATTTGAGCTCAATGAAAGAACCGAACCGAAGCCTGGCGGGGAGATAACCATGTCATTCCAAGGGGTCGTCATCATTGACAAACCCATCATGCTGGCCGTTAAGCTCAGAGAGTCCAGCAAATAGAGCCATCTTGGTAGCAGAATACATCTTTTGTCACGATATTAATTGAATTAATGGCCCTTTGTAAAGACATATTTATGTTTCGCCATGCACAACCATACATACACAACCATACATACACAACCATACATACACAACCATACATACACAACCATACATACACAACCATACATACACAACCATACATACACAACCATACATACACAACCATACATACACAACCATACATACACAACCATACATACACAACCATACATACACAACCATACATACACAACCATACATACACAACCACACACACATTATTTTTGGTAAAAACTTCCATTCTTAATGTCGTGCTTTTAATTTTACTTTTTTTTATAAAAATGTCTCTGAAATTATACAAACTTAAATGCTTTCATTGTTTATGAAGAAATAATGTGTGTTTCCATGTACGCATAATAAATCCACACATCCTTTCTTCTGAATACTTACTGCGCCGCCGATACTAAAGACATAGTACTCGAACAATGACCCTCTACAAGAAATAACAGTAGGAGCGTTTTTCTGTTTAAAAAAAAACAACACATTATATCTGACTTTAATTATTTTTTTAAAAAATAATATCACCTCAGTATCTTCACTAGGAGTACGGGGGTGTGAACCTCTCATGGGGAGTTTTCAACCAGAACACGACGTCACTAAAGCATGTAGACTGTAGACTCGGAAGTAGTCTTTGGGGAATTCCGAAGGGGATTGAAGTCGTGATCTCAACACAATGCGCGACACAAACCCCAATGCCACCCCTGTGTCGCGGCACATAATGTGGTAGGCAGAAAGGCGCCGGTGGACTATAAATCTTCCTCTGTCATTCTATACTTAACTCTGACGGTCACGAATCGCTTTGTAATATCCTGAGTTTTCAAAAGTTTATCTATGTGTGCCATCTTAAAATTCTGAAACGCCTACTAGCATTTTGTTGCCACCCAACAAAGTTTGAACTTCTGTCCTGTCCAGGGGTGCCTCTGGTTCAATAAGGATCCGTCCCGCCAATTTGAAGAGTTTCAAAGGCGTTTTTTTCTTAGAAAGCTCCTTAAAAGGATGCGGAGACGATAAACACGGCAGATCCTTGGATGACATCGAGTGTACGGTTGACGCTTGAAAGAGCTTCGAAGTTCACATTGGATGATATCGAGAGTACGGATGACGCTTGAGAGAGCTTCGAGGTTCACATTGGATGACATCGAGTGTACTGATGACGCTTGAGAGAGCTTCGAAGTTCACATTGGATGACATCGAGTGTACGGTTGACGCTTGAAAGAGCTTCGAAGTTCACATTGGATGACATCGAGAGTACGGATGACGCTTGAGAGAGCTTCGAAGTTCACATTGGATGACATCGAGAGTACGGATGACGCTTGAGAGAGCTTCGAAGTTCACATTGGATGACATCGAG